TTTAAAAAAAAAAAAAAAAAACAACAAAATACAAAACCAAAACCACAGACATGCCACAGCGGGAAGAAAGCCAGCATTCTGGGGAGATGCAGATCAACTAAGAGATCCAGATCCTGCAGAATGCGTAACAATTTTGGGGCTTACATCTTCACAACACACCAAAATCACCAAGCCACAGACCACAGAAAACCAAGCTGCTCTGATTCTGGTATTTCTTTGCTAGTGTTTCCAGAAATGTACACCCAGAAGCCAGCACCATCTTAGAGCATGCTGCAGTTACATATCTCACACACCTCAGACATGGATGGCTGAAACAGACACTGCAGTTGACACCGAGGGTCAAAAAGAACTTTCCACAGGCAGCAAGGTTGGCTTTTTTGACACCAGAAGTGCAAGAGAAACACGTGGGGTAACTGGCGAGATGCTGTGACAATGAGAACAGCATTCCTACCCAGCCACTTTCTCTGCCTGGCCACTGCAACCACCCACCCTCTCCATACCAGGCTGTTTGAGCTCTTTACACAGAAGATGCATGTTCAAGTAAAGAACAAATAAATTTTCCAGTTCAGCTGGCAAGAGGCAGAAGAGCCTGTCCCAAGAATACCAACACTGCAGCCACTGCCACTGCTCAGGGATTATACCTGTATGAGCAGAAGGTGACACAGATGGCCGCAACCACGGACGTAGCCACTACTTGGGATCCCTCTGATCCCTAAGGAAGTGTTTTCCAAAGCCGCGCCAAAAGCACCTCACTGTTGTCACAGAAAAGTTTTTGAGCAAGACAGGCAGCCTGCCACCTGGCTCATGGACATCAGCTCCATTCTGCTGTCACCTCCACGTCCAGAAGGGAGGAGGGCTGTCCTCAGAATTTTTGCATGACTAGCGCCTTTTGAGCAGACCCAGCCCTCACTTATCCTAAACTTTCCCACTCAGATGCCTTGGACGAGGGCATTTCATCCAGATTCCCAAAGACAGGGACTAGGCCAACATAAACCTGAAAACAACATAAGGAGTTCACATCTTTCAGCTACACAATGGAGGTTAAAACAACACACATACAATCACTCTAAGGTGGGGGGTCTGTGCATTTGTTCTCGTCTTTAACTGAACGCGCCAAGGTGCTCACACAGCATCTGGGGCATTTGCAACAGCTGTTCCAGCAGCAGACACTGCTTTCCTGCAATGCTCAGATGCAAGAAATCATGCTATTTCAAAATCAACTTCACAAACGAGTTATCAGCTTCCACTTACCGTCTGCCCATTCTCTCCTCTCGTTCTCTCTCCTCTCTCCGCCTCAAACGATCCTGGTTTCTCTTCTCTTGCTTTTCTGCCACAGTTTTCTAGAAAAAAAAAGTACACATTGCATTTCAGCCATACAGTAACAGGTCAGAGAGATCTGCAGGGAGACTATTCAGGTAGTAACATAAAGAGCTCTCTCACTACATCTTATGTGCTAGTCAAGATCTTTACCAAGGTTTTAATTTTCTCCACAACTTCACTAACACACATCAGTGCAAGAAATGCCGCTCTCTGCTTTGAGTGCTTGTGCTCTAAGAGATGAGCCCGTAAGCTTTGAGGCAAGTGACTGTCTCACCTCAAGCATACACAACACAATGAAACAGTGCTCTGGCCTCGTGCCAACGATCAATCGAGGCACTGACCTCAACATACTGCCTGGTGAATAAGGCACAGGAATCACAACTCTTACTCAAGCAGGTTCAAGGTCTCTGTCCGCAAGCAAGGCCAGTACCGCAATTCCATTACAAACCATTCGAGAAAACTTCTAATCGCTTCAGCTACTTTAAGCTTGTCTTCACTGACAGCACTATGTGAAACTTCAGTTCAACCACTTCATTAAGGTCTCAAAGTGCTCTTCAGTAGTCAAAAAACCCACAGTGACAAATATCAGCCAAACCAATGAGAAAAATACATGCAACTGTACCATTGCTCTAAGGAAGAAACGACAGCAGTGGTCTGGCTTGACTAATTCTGAGGGTACATATTTGTTTACCCAGAAATTACAGAACAGAACCCAAGATTAGGCTACATCAGCCTCCATTTGAAGTTGCAGGGATTCGGCAATCAGAAATTTCTGGGCTTCTACAAGCACTCTGCAAAGAATCCTGCATGACTTTAATAAAAGCATTGCATGTCTTCAGAACTACAAGGCAAAGGTTTAAAACAGAGGATTACCCTCAGCTGATCCAGTTTCTCACGAATCTGAATGAAACCCAAGTGTAATTTGCCTCCAAAGTGGTCAGCAAGACGCCGGTCATTGTCATGGAGACCCAGATATGCTGAACAGACTTCACACACACGCAGCTTCTGCTGCTGGAAACTGGATGCAGGCATTGAATTTCGGTATTCTTCCTAAAGGGAGGTAAAAACACAGGCAAATGTGAGAGAACCCTTAGTCACAACCCCTGCAAAGAACTGCCCTGACACTTTCAAGGATCAAAAAAGCACCCTCAGTATAGAGGAGGTGCCACACAAAACGCTTTGCGAGCACAACTAACCTGACACTCCATCCCTGCCAGTGACCAAATACTTCAGAGAACAAATCTTCCCCTCCCCCATCAGCTCTCATCACTACATAAAAGTTTCTAAAAAGCTTTTCTTCATCTATCACACCACACTGCCAACTGCTTGCTGGCACATTGCTGAAACTGAAAAAGGAGGTGCAGGCAACACAGGAGAGGTAGGAACCGCCCAGCTGTTTGTCACACCCCCAGCCTGGCCCAGTCTGCTATTACAACTCATAGGAGAACCAAGGCCATACCTCTGCCTCTTTCTTTTTTGCTCGGACTTTCTCCACTTCCATCAGGATCTTTTGAGACTCATCAACATTTCCTTCAGCTCCCAGCTGTTCAGCTTTAGCTAGGAGTTTTCCAATGTCTTCATTCAGCTCATGGACTTTCTCTGCCTAAAGAGAACAGTGTGTTTTCAGTAAGACGAAAACCTTGCTAAAACTTGCAGGATGACTTTTGTTCTCTAAAAAATATTGTTTAATAAAAGCAGTTGTTGGAAGATGACCACAAATCTCCAAAAGTCAGAGGAGTCCCAGCAAAAAGGGACTGGTGGGCCAAGAACAGGCAATGCAGTCACAGACCCATTGCAAAGAGAGAAACCGGACGTGATCAGGACATCAGCAGTTCTGCCACAAACAGTGGCACATTTCTGGCTTGCAGGACAGCACAGAGCCTGCTTCAGAAATGCTTTGTATTGTCCTGATGAAGCAAGTTCCCAAAGAGGAAACTCCATGAGCATTTACTAAGTGAAAAGACAACAATCATGGGATGGATTTACTATTCTAAGCTATTACACTAACATTGAATAGTGTGGGGGGAACCAATGTGTTTTACTGCCATGCTAAAGCAACGTACTTCAGAGTTCGTGTTTGATGCTACTACGGCCCTCTGAACCAGTAAGTTTGTCACAAGACCAGCCAGAACACCATTTGAGGAGGATGGCTGCAACGCACAAAGCCTTTGTGGAGCCTAACTTCACAGTATCAATGCTGTCAGAGACAACAGAGCACCAGTGCTCTCCCATAAACTTGCAGAACAAGCGTTTCATGAGAGGACAATACCTTTGCAGATACTTCAGCACTGATCTCTTCCTGTGTCTCAGCCAGGCGCTTCTTGGCCAGTTCTGTCCTCCTATCGCACTCTGCGATGAAAGATTCCAGGTGATCCATCGCCTGCATGTTCAGACAAAGACTTGTGAATAAAGGTGCTCTCCGTGCCAGATTTAGCTTTGACAGCCAACAGCTAGTTGGTACAACCCCTGTATAATGCACAGCCAACTTCAAGAACAGGCGCCTTGAGAAAAAAAAATGCACAACACTTTGCAGAAAAGGTAAAATTTGATCCCTGCCCTTAAGTCTGTCACCTGTCTGGAACCTGACACGGTTCCTTTACTCTGACACACAACAGGATGCTCACATGAAGACTGCTTTGCACTGGAACCTTCAACGCATAAGCAAGAGGTGCAAAGACAAAAAGCACTGGAATAACACGAAGAGGGAAGACAGAATTGTTCTTCCACTTGATTTGTTCCATCATAGAAAGCTAAATCTAGCAAAAAGTGAAACCACAGAGCAGAAGGCTTTTGATGTCAAATCTCCCTCTGGGACAGGCCACCAGGCTACTGCGACTTGGCACAGAGCAGCAGGTGTGGGATGCAAGGAATGCCAGAGGAGCCTCCCAGCTAGCTGGACTAATGGGGTTGCAAGGGCCATAACTGCTTTTACAATTTCAAGTCAGCAATCAAGCCAGCACTCGAGAAGGGGTTGTACATTCTTGTCAGATAACACGTCACATAACATGGCTAGCTGAAATGCTCGCTGAGTTCTACTGTTCAGTCAAATAACTTCAAGAAGCAGTTTTCACAAAAGTAACTAAAATTTCTCTGTACTCACATCCAGCTCAAAAAACAGATCTCGCTCTTTACTTGCAATCTCATAATCTGCTCGCAGTGCCAAGTCATGGATCTTCGTACACTCTCCCAGGTCCATTCGCTGTTGAAAAAGGAAAATCAGTGTAAGAACCCTCAATTGCGGCAACGAGCAGCAGATACTTAACTCTTGCCAACTGTACCATATCAAAATGCAGCCTCTTTTGGAAGCAGAGCTTCCTCTTAACCTGTCAGTAACACAACTAGCCAGAAGAACCACATGCTTGCTAGAACCTCTTTTCTAGGTGTTCCTGGAACAACGTTAGAACACCGCAAATGTTTTAAGTTCAGTCCTACTCCTGCTCTAGGTCACAGCACAGTCTTAGAAATCACTGGGCGGGAGCTGGCAAGGCACAGCACACCGCAGCAGCAACTCCTTCAATGGGCACCAACTCCAAACGCCTCCTACTACGGAGCTACAGCACAGCAAAACACACAGCTTTATACCCTGTTCAAAGCCCACCTGGAAAAGGACATCTGTGTCACGACAAGCCCTAGTAACCTACTGAGCGATACCACATCATAAAGCACAGACAGAACGCTTCCTATCAAGCACAAATGGACTTAAGGGAATAAATGGTATGGCCAGTACGAAACCACAACCCCATGCTCAGCAACAGCAGACTTGTTATTCTCCAGCGAGCCCCTTCCCACATTCAGCTGTCGCCTGGGATTTTAAAACCTGCCCAACAAAGCTAATTCCTACGCCTAAGCTCAATTAATGAGAGAATTATTGGGCACCTCCTCTCGCAGAAAGCCCCGACTTGCACGCTGCCCTTCACGCCCATTGCAGTCGCTGCTATTTAAATTTGTTATTCTTCCCTAACCTAGTAGTTAACAGCCACATGAAACGAAGTTAATTATGCTCTCAAAACATGGAAATTGCATTTCGACATTATCAATATGTAACAGAGAATATTTCTCTTATTCTTAAAGTAAAAAAAAAAATACAATATTTTGAAAGCCAAAATAATAAAAGGCCGAAGTGCAAGCCACAGCACCAACAGCAGGGTACATGTCATCACAACCACCCCAGCCAGCCATCTTCTCTCCCCATCACCACCAATCCCAAGAAGCCCAAACCTGAACACAGCACCACAGGTGCCACCTCACTGAATTGCAGAAAAAGCTAAATACAGCTAAACTGGGATCAACACAGAATCCCTGCGGAACATCACTAACTGAGCTGAGGGTGCCAGGGACACCTATGTGAAGCACTCGGACAGCAGCAATAGAAGTGTTTAGAACGAAGCAAAGCAACTAAAGCAAGCTCCACCAGGTAATGCAATCACCCACGTTATTAGCTTTTTTAAACAAAGAAAACTATTCCAGATGACTTGCCACTATCCACTCTTTCTCATTTTGCTCAGATTTACCAGGAGGCCGGAGGCAGCAGGCTACAGAAACAGACACTGCATCCAGGAATAGTCCTGCTGAGCTCTCTAACAGTAGAAATTTAATGCCTACAAAAAAAAGGTTCCAGTACTTTCAGAGCTTAATCATGTTCATCTTCAGGCAAGCCTCTTCAAAGAATGCCAGCAAGCTACTATTATTTTACCACAAAAATAACGTTCCACAATGTGACTTGAATCTTTTATTCTTATGGTCATTCTCCTGAGACCCCTTTCCAATATAAGGAGAAAACAGCAATATTAGCTGTGATAGTCACAGATCATTAGAATCCTTATCTGAACTCTTCTGGCAAGCTGAGCCACTAGCTGCACTTTAGAGAAGGGGCTCCACCCCAAAACGTCAGCAGAGCCTACGGCGTGCTCCGTATTCCCCTCTCCGTTTGTTAAAAGGCAATGACTCACTCAACCGCTTCCTCTGGGGGAGAACGTTCAGGTCTCATCAGCATACAAACCTCAAGTCTTCCTCCACGTCCTTGGAGATGATCTAGGTGCAAGGAGATTTTCACAGGTATTGCTCACTTAAGGTCAGCTCACTAGCCCTTCTGTCTCAAAGAATCCTCTCGTCTCAGGGAGGCCTGTCATCACATACTCACCCTTTCCAGCAGCGATCGTGACTTGCTCCAGTCAACACCCGTGGCTGGTTTATAATACAGGTATTTGAGACAGGTAACCAGCAGAGCCTAAGTAAAGATTTAACCCCCCATACACACAAAGATTTAATACATTTAGATGCCACTGATCATTAGTCCCGCTCACATTTGCTGAGCAATCCACATTCTGAGGTATCTCTTATGATATCCACTAAACTGCTAACTCACCAGAAAGCCTATTTCCACGAGGAATGCTCTTTAATAGTCATCAGAGCTGCAGAGCTTCGCCCAGTGAAAAAGGAAAGGGCAGACCCCCCCAAAACAATTCTGCAACCTACAGATTTCGGCTCACTCCTAACTCCCAGTGGGGGACACAGTAAATGCCCTGAACATAATTTCTAAGCTATGTTCTACTTGGGCAGCTTTCAGACTCCTCTATCCATTTACTACGGGAGCTAAAACTCAGAAGGATTACCAGCTGATGCCATGTCTGAATGCTGTGCCGTACTTCCACTGACAGAAATACGCTTACCGTTAGCTGCAGAGCTAACTCGGCACAGGCCACTAACGATCTGGTGGCAAGTCCCCCGATAACAGCACATGGGCATCTTAAACTAACTTGTATTCTCCCACAATTTTCCTCCCTTCCCGTGGAGACAAAAAAGAGAACCATTGTAGCTTATTTAGTGATAAGTTTAGACACGTATCTGGGACCAAAGGCTCTTATGACGGGGAACTTTGGCACATCTAAACAAAGCAAACATCAACATGCCTTCTGCAGTTCTCAGGAATATTCCAGAGCCTTACTTACAGTCTGGAGTCCTTCTCTTACTCTGCACCTGATGGTCAGCAAACGGAACTCCATCACACTTCACTGAGCACAGCTACCCAAGGGATCCAGCTTCCTGCTCGTCAGCCTCCCACTAAGGAATATCTGCACATGTGAAATACGCAGCAGTAGCAATGCCTTCGGGGGAGGATGCAACATAACCAGCACCAGAAGGCTTGGAGGATCTGTTGGAAGTTTCCAGAAAGATCCAAGGTCCCGATTTCTGCAATAACACACATCCAGAGATGGATGCTGCCCCATTCAGCTGAGGCCGATTCACCCTCACAGCTCTTCCCTTACAGGAGCACCGTAAGATGCCAGCGAACCTGACCGAGATCACGAGGAAAGCCTGCAAATTCCAGTTAAGTTTCATTCTGTGTTGGTAGCGTTGACAGCTAAAACGCTGTTCCCGTTCCAGACATCACATGTTCTTTCAACACAAATCTGTGGCACCAAAACTTTTTCTTGCCCCCAGGAACGTGCTGACAGAGGTGTAGAGAGCTCCACAGCCACTTATAGGCCGCCACGAGGTGGCTGGATTGGTAAACAAGATAACTCGCGCAGAAGCAGTCTTCCTTCCTGCTCCCGTGTCAGATTTCTAAGCACAGATTCCACAGCAAGAGTTAAGAAACGACTCACTGCAGACAGGTAACAACAGAAGCACGATTAACAGACTTCTCCGTGTGCTTCTCTGCCCCAGGAGACTCACAACGCACCCGAACACCTGAGACTTCCTCTGTGCTTTGGCACTAGCTCCAAGAGTCACGCTCATCACTTAATTCAACGCCTTCAACCCACTGTCTACCTTCTTCCTGGAAATATGCCAGAGAGGTAGAAGGCAGCCTGCATCTTCCAGGCACCGTTTGGGCCCCACAAAACTGTTCTAGAATCTCGTGTCAAAAAATACACCCTAACTACAGTGACCTGCATGAAAGATGGAGGTGGGCGGAAGGCGATTTAAGCAGCTTTAAAATTCTGAAATGGAAGTGAGGAGACATGGAGGCTGATGGAGCGATCACTGAAAAAATGCACCTGAGCTTCAAATTAATAAAAAAAAAAATAGAGAGACATACAGACATTGGTAATCAACTCTTCCAATCTTCTTCTGCAATAGCAGCCATTAGGAAGCTGAAGTTTGAGTGCTCAGAGCTGAGGCAGCTTTTGCTGAAGCTCCTCCTACTAGTGCTGCCACAGTCTTGCTATCACAGCCACACAAACAGGGGAAGGGGTACCAGCCCTCCGCTTTGCTGGCAACCCAGTGCCAAACCCAGCTCCTGAAATAACAGCAGGAAGGGCTACACATTATGATGGCATCTTTAAAAAATCTGGTTAAGTGGATTGCCACAGTACTTAGTGTCAGTGAGGGTAAAGATGGATTTCAAACATCCATATTCATCTCCATCCTGCAATTCTGTGATACAGCAACAATTACAAAAGACACATTCTGTTTTCTTTTGAAAGCTGGACTGCATCTTTCATCTGGGTGCCTAAATTGAGTACTTACTTCACAAGACCTCGCTGTTAAAAGCCCACGTCACCTTTTGCTCTCAGAGGAAGCATGAGAGCCAAACCTTTGAAAACCGGCCAGCTGTCCCCAGAGGGCTGCGGCGAAGGAGCCAACTCAACTGTTTCAAACCAGTCAGGCAGAGTGACACACCGCTCAGACCAGCTGACTCTAAAGACAAAGTCGGCCTGAGCTGTAACCTGTCATTAGCACGCCAACCTGAAAAAGCTGCTATTCCATCAGGGGAACACCACGTGGTTGGAGAGAGCAGAGTCAAAAGCTCCAAAGATTAAGGATTATTGCAGCTGGTAAGAAAATACTTGCTAACCTGAAGGTGCAACAGTGAACTAGAGCACCCAGGACAGCAGGCTAGCTACGGCCTTGTGACCTCCACAGGACAAGCTGCAGGCCCTAACTATCTCAAACTGCTAGAAGAGAAATAATCTTGCAACTTCATGTCAGATTGCGAGAGGAAAAACATTTCAAGCAAATTCCAAGAGCTGCTGACTTCAGCGGTTCCACACACAGGTCACAGAAACTGAAATTAGAATTGTGACTGCTCCTCCAGTACAGAAAGCCTCTCTAGATCTCTCCTGGAAGCTACCCATGATGCACAGACGAGCCCTGAAGGGTTGTACCAACGTCTGCCTCACCAGAATTCCTTATTACAGAGAATATACTTACTGTTCCGGCCAGGATATCATGAGGACAGCAGTCCAGAAGGTGGCTCTTGCAAACACGATCGTCTGTAAACTTCACCCTTTGTCTGGTTTCATCTCCTGAAATTCATTTGTGGTTTTAAATAAGGAGACATTAGAATACCGATAAGAGAACAAAGACGTCGGTATGATCATTTCGCCTCAATACGCAGATTAAAATACTTGGTGTTCCTGCTCCCCAAAATTACTTGGGAAAGACAAAAAAAAAACCACCTAGAGGGTAACAGGATATTCTGGTACATTTATAATTGGCAACAAACACTATTTTAGCATTTATTCATCCAGTACACCATGTTAAACACAGTGTTGGCGAGCCAAGTAACGTCCAAGGCCTGTCATCCATATAAAGAGACAGCACAGCCAGAAGAGAAAAAAGTGAGACAGACAGTCTGGCTCACAGCCAAAACCTTTTATTTCCCCCCACCCCACCCCCCGCTCTCTTTTTTACTGTGAGGAAGGGGCAGGAGATACCGAAACCCATGCTATCAGAGGGCCCCGAATCACCAAACAGGGCTGTGCTGGACAGTTTTTACAGGTGATCACTATTTTCTCATCCGTTCATTAAGACATCGGTCCATTTGGTTTGAAAACCAAATACGCAGTGTGCTTTCCAAGGCCATGCAAAGAGGAATCTTGTAGGTCTTGGCCTGGAACATGAAGCGTGCTTCCCACCCACTTCCCACCCTTGGAAGACATTTTACACTCAGGAGCCACTTAAACAAGACAATATCAGAAAAGCAAAAAAATAAAAAAATTAAAAAAGAAACAAAGTTAGTCAATACACACTGCGAGCTCCAACATATACTATACCCATCTGCATTCTTCAAGACCTCAGCTGCAGAATTTTATGCCCACTGTTGAAAAGTTTTAAAGGAAAAGTTTTCTTGCCCACACCTGCAGTAAGGAAGTCAGGGGAACGATACATAAAAGTAAAGGCAAAGTGGTAATGGTATGTGACAATTTTTAAGCTCACCTGCGTATACGACACAGGTATGTGTAATGCTAAAGTATGAATATAGTTTAGGGTTCGCAAGCATCCAGGAATAATGTCGTGTCTACTGAAAATGGTTTTTTATTTATTTTTTTTTTCTTTCTAAGCTACACTTTTAAAGTTACTTGTGAAAAAAAAAGCAAACACTTTTTTTTTTTGTTATAACAGCTTTAAAAATTGGTTGTGACTCACGGCTCGATGAACATGAGGCTTTTCTGCAACTCCCTTGCAGATTGATGTAGGCAGGCAAAGATACACTGAACCTTTATAAATAAAATAGAGGGGCCACAATTGTTCAGTTTGTATGAAATAAAAATATGGGAAGCATTTCAACAGCAACTCAACACACAAAGAAAGAAAAGCACTTATTCACTTACGAAACAAAGTGCAAAGTACCTGAACAGCCCTGCTAACGTGCCAAAGGGAATTTAAGCGCTCAGCGAGTCGCAGGAGGGAGATACAAACCGCAGCGGGAGCACATTTCGCACCGGCTGTCACATTTCTGTTCTCGGACAACAACTACAGCGGCCGGCTCCTGCAGGCGCACCTACCTACACGCCTCTGCGCCGACGGCGGGTTCCCCCGGGCGTAAAATGATT